CTCCCCTCCCTCCCTCCCCCCTCCCCTCTCTCCCTCCCCCCTCCCCTCTCTCCCTTCCCCCCCCTCCCCTGCTCCCTCTCAAGCCATTTCGGCCTGCAGGCGCGCGCGCGCGTCCGTGCGGGCCGAGGCTGCAGGGCGCGCACCATCGGCGGCGGCGGGCTGGGGCTCGCTGTACGCCGACTCGCGGCTTGAGGGGGGCGGCAGCAGCCGCTGCAAAAGTCCCTGCAGTCCCAGCAGTACATGACCAGGGGCCGCGGCTGGAAGCGAGATGAGGAGGAACAAAGCTCGTGGGCGTCATGGGGTGCGCCCTGGCGCTCATCGTCCAGATCTTCCAGCTGCAGGCCGCCGAACACAAAGGGCAAGAGGCACACGCAGTACCTGGTATGCCCTGATTGTCCTATGGGCAGCGGCAATTGGGTCCATTGCAATCGAGCAGGTAAGCCTGGGTGGACCAACTGTAAGTCGTGCGGATACGAGTGGAAGGCACCCAGCACTGGACCATGCGCTGAACAAGCAGAAGACGGAGGAGCCTCGGACGCTGCCAAGGCAATGGTGGAGCTCCTCAGGAAGCAGTACGTCCTGGCGCAGCAGCAGAATGACCAAGTCAAGATGGATGAGATCGTGGCGGCATGCCCAGGGGCCAAGCCGATGGACCCCGTCGAGCCCGCTGAGCCATCCATGGGACAGAAGCTCCAGCAGGCGGTGGCAGAGCTCAACAAGCTGCAGAAGCAACAGGACAAGCTCGCCAAGCAGCTCAAGCGGGCCACCGAGTACCGCGACGACGTGCTCATCAGGATCAGCACGAACGTGGCCGAGCTTGCGGAGGCAAAGCGTGCATTCACGGAGGCAAAAGAAGGACTGGGTGGGGAAGATGAAGTACCTGAAGCTGAGAAGAGGCCAGATGATGAAGAACTGTCCCCTCTCCCAGGAGGACCTGGCCATGCTGGACGAGAAGCAGCAGAAGGAATACGAGCAGATCCAGAAAGATTACCAGCAGGCTAAGACCTTCATCAACGCAAAGAAAGAAGCTGTCCAGAATGCCAAGAAGGCGCTCGACGCTGCCAAACAGATCCACGAGACAGCTAGTAAAAGACGTCGCGGAGGCCAAGGCGAAGCTCATACCGACCAGGCACCAGCGGCAGCACAAGTCCCTGAACCTGTCTTACCAGAGCAGCCAGCTGGAGCAGGAAAGCCTATGGATCCTGATCTCAGGTTGGCAGCCAAGTATGACCTCTCCAAGGATGACCAGGTCCAGACCTACCTCGCGGAGCTGGCCAAGATCAAGGGCAGAACCAAGGTCGCGTTGGCATCCTCGCGGAGCTGGCTACCAAGCAGGCACCGCCACCGCAGCCGCAGCAGGCGGCAACATCAGCAGCAGAAGCTAAAGGAGACGGAGTTGGAGGGTAGCCTGAATTCCACGCACTGCTTCTACGCGGCACTAGCAGAGCCAGCTGCGAAGGGGGGTGAGCCACAAGGGGTGGGCCACGTGCCGAGCAGCGGCAAACCCCCACTCGCAGCAGGCCTTCATCAAGGACCAAGCATCAACCCCAGGCCGGCGTACGTTAAGACTGTCTGGATCGACGACGAGGTCGAATACATCACCGAGAGCGCTTTTACTCGCAGGGGTGATGCTATGATTACCGCGTTGTCTCCACTTTCTACTTGCGGGAGCTCTACGAGTGCTACGATGGCGTCGGACCCAGATCGTGCAGGGGCGCAGGAATCTGGATCAACGTTCCGAGTCATCAACGGTACCAGGCAGAGCAAATTGAACGACGATGTCAGGACGTTGTCAAAGTTTTCGTGGCCAACTGCACGCAGTACAATGTGGCCGCCAAGAAACTTGTAGAGGACGAGAAGAGCGAGGAGTACGACATAATCGCATTTAATGAGCACCACTTGCGAGGACCAGCGGCGGAGATCGAAGCTAACAGGCTCATGCGACTGGGCTGGCGATCTCATGGGACCTGGACACCAGCTCGACAGTCACCGAGATCGAAGAAAGGGACGCTAGGAGGCACCTGCATACTTCGTCGTCGGCATTTGGATACCCGCATTCACCTGCCAGACGCGCAGGGCCACAGCATCTTCGCAAAAGACTTCCACGACATCACCATCGTCAAGTGGCAGCTCAAAGGGCAGGAGATAGCAGTTATCACGGCATACCTCACGGCATCGATTAGATTTACGGGTGAGAATATTCGCAAGATGAAGCACCTCTTGCAGCTCACGCGCAGCCTGGGCAACACACCCTGGATTATCTGCGGAGACTTCAACAACACACCCCAGGAGTTCGAGGCGACGCCATGGCTAAGGCTACTTGGAGCAGCGACTGTGGTGCCACAGCACGTTAGTCATACGTGCAACAGTGGGTCGGGCAGGGTGATAGACTATGCATTGGTCCCTCCCGTCTTTCGCCCGCTCCTGAAGGCAGTGCGAGCACAGCATGACGTCCCATGGTCACCGCACATAGGCATCGTCATAGAGATCTTTGCCAAGCCGAACATGATCACCATCCGAAAGCCCATGCTCCCAGCTAAGAAGCCCATCCCTACCACGGAGGTGCGGCGAGAGAGGGGCATTAAGAGGAAGCAAAGGGACAGACAGCAGCACCAAGAAATGGCAAAGTACTTCGACTCAGAGCTCCTGACACGCTCCTGGACGCCTACTACACCGAGACTGCGGCTATGAAGCGCGACCCGACCATTTGGGGCGAATGCCGCCAGGAGGAGGCATCTTGCCGAATCCGAGGCCCCCCCAGGCGGGTTCAAGAGTCGCTGGCATACAAGCAGAACCCGAGGATGAGCGACTTGCTCGGCAAAGCATACGGCAAATGGGCGAATGCAGCGGAGAGGGCGCTGGCTACGGTCACGCAGAACCCGATCAAGGCGAAGGCGAGGAGGGGGCAACCAATCCGCTATCGCGAGGCACCATTCCCACAGCACGTTGCGAGCAAGCAGGTCGAAGACACAGCGGCAGATAGACAACGACAAGTCAGTACTTTATGGTCGAAGCTATATCAGCGATGCCACGATGGTGAACTTTTACTCAGGAGGCACCCGATCGATAGCCAGAAGCACCTGGACACGATCAGCAATATCATCAGGACCTATGTCAACCAGTTGGACTCCTTCGACACAGTTGAAGGGGACGAAGCAGCACACCTTGATAGACAAGCGAGACGCCTAGCGTCCCGCGTCACCAGCCTCCGCCACAACCCTGAGCCGGAGAATACCATCGAGAATATCCAAGAGTGGCAGGAGGCTAAGGAGTTGACGAGGGCACGCATGGACTGGCATATGCGGAATCTCTGGAAGAAAGTCAGAGAGCAAGTTGGCCAATGGACCAGGGCGGCGTTGTCAGGCAGCATGAAGGCGGCCCACAATTACATCAGCAAACATGAAAGACGAGACCTACCAGACACAGCAGTGGACCCAGTCACGAAGGAGGAGACAGGCGCTCTACGCGACGCTACTGCATGTCGTGCAAGGATTTGGCAGACGAGGTGGCAGAGGCACAACAGCAGTCACAAGTTGGAGGAGGCCATGGCAGACTTAAGACGAGCGGCACAGGACGAACTACCCCAGCGGGAGTATTATAATGTTGACGACCTGGAAGCAGCGCTCCCGAAGTTCCGACCTACTACAGCGCGTGGTCCTGACCAATGGCAACCACCTGAGATTAAGGCCCTACCGCCCGAGGCCAAGCGCAGCCTGGTCTTCGTGATCAACTCGTGCGAGCGGAACCTATGCTGGCCACACCAATTCTACCACCTGTGGTACCACCTGTTGGTCAAAGCGGGCTCTAACACTGCTGGCGAGGAAAGGCCAATTGGACTACTACCCTTCCCTGTACGATTGTGGGGCAAAATGGCAAAGAGCGAAATGCAAGATTGGTGCGCAGAGAAAGCGGGCTACTGGGATGCAGCATTCCAAGGATCCTCGGCTCTTCGTGCAGCGTTACTTTCTATGTCGCTCGACGAGACCAGCGCGAAGCTCAAAGGATCACTATATGGCACATTCTATTTGGACTTAGAAAAATTTTACCACAGCGTGGATTTGAGCATCTTGATCAAAAGAGCCGTGCAGCTTGATTATCCGAAGGTCAACTTATACATGAGTATGTTAATGTATTTATCCCCGCGCGTGGTACGCGCATGCCACGATCATCCGGAACCAACATGCCCATGGAACGGCATAGTGGCTGGATGTGCAGCGGCAAACCACGCAGCGAGAGCCATGATCTACATTATCTTGGACATCACCCACAATGCGGCGCCGCTTGCCATCACGAGGGAGTTCGTTGATGACTTGCACACGAGAGTCGAAGGTCAAGCCGAACAGTTCCAGGAGCAGTTCCCAGTGGCGGTCGATGTGCTGGTGCAGGCTTGCCTGGACTCAAAGCTGGTGGTCTCCGGAAAGCCAGCGCTCCTCACGTACTGCGACGCGACCGAACAGTACATCGTGAAGCACCTCAAAGGCAAGGGCATCAGCATTAAGACTCCCAAGTTCGTCAAGGACCTGGGCATAGATGCGGCGCTGGGAAGGCAGCGCGTCACAGCCACGCGAACTACCAGGACTAAACAGGCGAAGCTACGCGCAAAGCGTGCCAGGATCTTCAGCACGCAGAAGGGCAAATGGCGGCGAAGAACGGCGATGTTCTTCAATTCCAACCTGAGAGCCAAGCAGAGCTACGATTGGCCAGTAACAGGGCTCAGTCCAACTGCAGTGCGTGAAGCGAGAGCTCAGGCGGCAGAGATGGTTGGATTTACAACTGGCGGCAGGTGCACATCAACAATCAACATCATTTTCTACGGCGAGAACGAGCCAGCGACAGCATGCCTGCAGCGACAAGTACGTGAATGGGTACAGATGTGGCAAAAGGATACCTCAGCACATCAACGACTACGACAAGGCTGGCAAGCCAATATCGAACGGCTGGCCCAGATGCGAACCCGTGGAAAGTGGAAATCAGTGACAGGACCAATGGGGGCACTTATTCTCTCATTGCAACAGCTGGGGTGGAATTCACGCATGCCAGATGAGTGGGATGATGCCAGTGGCGAGACGTGGAGGTTCCAGAGTCAGGGAGTGCTCGACTTTCGCGACATCATGAAGTCCATCACCCGGGACATGCAAGCTCAGCTCTGGACCAAAGCAGCGGACCACTACTACGGCAACGGCATGCAGCACGGGATGGACACCACCATGCTCAAGAAGACGCTCCAGAAACTACGTCAAGCCGACCGAGTCCAAGAAGCAGGCGCGTTAGAAGCACTTGCCTGTGGCACGATATGGACAGGACAACGATGCGAAGCAGCAGGATACCAGACAGATGGAGTTTGTCCGCGTTGCACTAAGGCGCCTGACACGCTGAAGCACAGGATCTACGAGTGCGAAATGAACGACAACCTCCAGATTGACGCGGTGGTCAAGTCACAGTCGTTATGTCAGAAGGCCTTAGAGGAGATGCACGTTAACCCAGAGACGGAGGCATACTGGCTACGGGGGCTACTCCCCAAGCACAGGAATCCTGTACCTGATCCACCAGCATGGGGGGATTGGAATGGCAGTTACTGGACGACAGCAACAAGAGGACCCAAATTAATAGCAAGCAGTTTGGTCACGATGGATCCCGTTCAGTGCAGCATGGCTTTCGTAAATGGATCAGGCACCAGCAACGACATGCGCATCAATAGAGTGGGATGGGGCCTCACATTACAGCTACGAGATGAACAATGGAAGCGGCCAGGGCAAGCGCACATGTGGTGCCCCAACGCCCTCGTGGCACAAGGGAGCCCAACCGAACTGTGCCATGAAGCAGAGGCTAGTGCACCAACTGACACAGAAGCGGAGGAGCAGAGAAAGGGCATCATGCACGACCTTGGCGCATGGGCAGCTACATGGACGGTATACATCGACCTAGACGAGGCCAGGAGCCAAGCTAATTGGAAGATGTGGTCTGAACCGTACATGGAAAGCTACCTGCGACGACCAGAACAAGCAGCACTACGACAATTACTCAAAGCAAGATACCAGACCCGAAGCACTAGCCAGATCGCGAAGGACCTTTGTGATATGCAATGGAGATCGGCCAAGATGAAGCGGAAAGACGTGTACGAGTATTCCCTCACCCTTACGGGCTGGGAAAGAGAAGCATGCATATCCCACTGGTTCGACAGCGTAGCGGACATTAAGGCCAAGTTCCGCGAATTATTGCAAGACCGAGCACCCACTTTTGACCAGGAAATGCTTGAAAAATATGAAGAAAATGATGAGGACCGACCAGCAGCCATGCATGTGGTGGCCCACGAGATCTACAAGGCCAGCCTGCCGAACGACGACACGGGCTTCATTGAAGGCACAGACCATATCGGGTTCTATGGCACCGTAGATGGAGAACAAAGTGCACCTGCTGCTGAACATGCAGGACTTTTCTGGGCACTGGCGCTCACGCGAGGCCTGTTATTGATCATCACGGACTGCCAGATGGTTATGAATGGCTGGACCCTCAAGTACTACGAGCAGCCCCAAGGTGCTCAGCGACCATGGTGGGAAAGGATAAAACGCATCCTCAGCAGGCGGTCTGGTGGAGTGTATGGAGTACGTGTCCAGAAGTGCTTATCCCACCTCGACGGCGAATCGCTTATGCAGGCTGGCCAGGAATTCCACACCAGCATGGGCAATGAAATGGCGGATACGTTGGCGCAGCGAGGAGCAGAAGAGGCAATGGCAGAAATACGGCAAGAGGTCAAGGCGTTGGTGGAAGTGGAAACTACACTTATGAGGGCCCAAAGGAGGGCAGCAGCGATCATCCACGAGGTGTGCAAGGATGCGGACCCCACCAAGCTTGAGAGGCCCAAGCAGATGCCTACGCAAGAAGATAGCAAAGGAAAGAAGAGATCAGATCGAGAAGGAGTCGGGCCACATAATGCGAAAGGACAAAGGGCAATGGGTATGCCAAGAGTGCTGGCTAACCCCAGGCAAGTACAGCGTGGTTGACTGGATGAAGGCTAACGTGTGCATCGGGAGGCAGTACGAGACACACCGAGCAGGTCATGGACATGCAGTCCGCGTTCCCAACAACGAGCTGATTGAGATCAAAGACAAAGTGATCCACGACAGTCACAGCATTGCAGTGGCCCATGGGCAGTTCTGGTGCTGGAATTGTGCTGCGGTGGCATCGCACAACGACTACGGACACGGCAGAGTGAACCTACTGGCGACGGAGTGCAGGAACAAGATCACGCAGAGCGGGACTACTGTACTTCGTTGGCTACGACAAGGATTACCACCAAAGGCTGGCCAGAATTGGCCAGATGGGACGATCCCGCCTAACGGCGGGCGGCTACCACGAGTTGCAGCTGGGCGACGACCTCGTGGTTGACTTCATGGCACGGGGCTACGGCCCCGCAGAGATACTCTGGCCTGGAGAGCCAGTGGGGTGGACGCCCGCCCTGCTCAGGGGGTGGGGTCGCGACCCCTGAGAGCCCGCGCGGCCTGCGCGGGTGGGGGCCGCGGCGGCCGAGTCGACCGCGGAGCCCCTCGCTCGAATGTCCTCGAATGTCCTCCCCTGCTCCCTCCCCTCCCTCCCCTGCCCCCTCCCTCTCCCCTCTCTCCCTCCCCCCTCCCCCCCCACCCTCCCCTCCCTCCCCTCCCTCCCTCCCCCCTGCCCTCTCTCCCTCCCCCCTCCCCTCCTCTCCCTCCCCCCCTCTCTCCCCTCTCTAGCGCCCTCCCCCCCCCCGCTCGGGAGGGGGAGGGCCTGCGCTCCGAGAAGTTGCCAGAGTGCCATCCAGAGCGCTCTGGAGCGGGCGCGGCGCCCTCGGCACGTGAGCCGCCGGAGCTCGGAGGTGCCCGATGTACCCGGTCCGATACTTCGGGGGTGCACAGAACCCCCAAGAGTGACACGTCGATTCGTGAATTGTCCGTTTTCGGTTCTCGAGAGGGCGCCGCGGCCGTTGTTCTCCAGGCGTGCGCCCGCCAGGTTGGGGCCTCACGTCGTTTTCACTAGGCCACGTTTTGCTAAAGGGAGGTCTGTCCATCCCCGAAGATTGTCCTGGTCCTGGCTCCGTCTACAGCCTCGAGGCCCCCGGAAGACCCGACCCTCTCCCCCGGAAGACCCGACCCTCTCCCCTCTGGCCAGTTCTTGTCCCGGGTCGTTTGGCGACGGTGCCGGAGCCCGGCGAGGGCACCCCGAGGTCGAACATGGGCGAGAAAAGTTCCCGCCGGTTTTTTTTTACGGCGCGAGCACGTCTGGGGGGACCTCCTGGAGGCCCCCCCGCGCCTCCAGAGAAGGGCCGCCAGCAAAATCACAAGTTTGCTAGCTGTTGTGGTCGATGTGGCCGTTCTGGGACGTCCATTTCGACCACAACCACCACTCAGCTGGCTTCGGTGTTCTGAAGATTATTGCGAAGCGCTTACGGCCGGTGCCGCCAACCCTGAAGACGACGAAGATGAGATGGGGGGTGCAGGGGGAGGAGGAGGAGTGGCAGGAGGAGAAGGAAGGGGTGCGTCGGTCGATTTCTTCTCGTCTGCTGTCTCCTTTCGCTGCGGCTTATGCTGCCTGAGAGAGGGATGAGGATGCGGAGGAGAAGGAAGAGGGGTAGGAGGAGGAGAAAGAGGAGGGTAAAAGAGGAAGATGAGGAGGAGGAGGAGGAGGAGAAGAAGGAGGATGAAGAGAAGGACGAGGAATAGGAAGAAGAGGGAGGTCAGGAGGAGGAGGAGGAGGAGAATCAGGAAGAAGAGGACGGAAAAAATGAGGAGGAAAAGGAGAAGAAGGATAATGAGGAGGAGGGAGAGGAGGAGAGGAAGGCGGAGGATGAGGAGTAGTAGAAGGAGTAGGAGGAGGAAGAGGAGGGGGACAGATGAGGAGGAGGAGGAGGAGGAGGAGGAGGAGGAGGAGAAGGAGGAGGAGGGAGAGGAGGAGGGGAGGAGCCTCTTGGAGCCTTGGTGGGGGTGTTCTTGGGGAGCTCCTGGGACGTCTAGGAGGCTTCTTGGATCGTCTTGGGGCCATCTTGGCCGTGTTGGGCCGATCTTTGAGCGACACGGGGCTCTTGTGGGCCATCGTGGGAGCCATCTTCGGCATTCTGGGTTCTTTTTGAAATTGTTCGATCTATCGGGGCCGCCCGGGGGAAAACGAATCTGGATGGCGACCCCCCCGGGACCCCCCCCCCCCCCGCGGGGAAGGGATCAAAGGGAAGGGGCTTCCCTTCGACTCCAATACGACGTTGTACAATTTCGCTTTGGATGGCGCGCTTGAAGAGGGCCCAGGGAAAGGGACGGGGGACGACGGATACGGCGAGGAGACGACTGTGACGACGACGAAGACGACGAGGAGACGACGGAGACGAGAACTCGAACGGAGAAGCCCCTCGCACACGCCGACAGGGTCGGCGGATTACATGCGCCAGACACCCCCGAGGGCGTGCTGCGGGCAAGAGTTCTATCAATATCCACTGCGTCTCTGACTTTGGGGTTCCCCCCCCCCAGAAACCATGGGCACAGTGGACATGGCTAAGAACCTGGCCTCTGGAGCCTCGGCCTGCGCCCCCTCCCAGAAAGCCCAAGGCGCACAGTCGGCCCGCATCGTAAGGATGGGCAGCTTTCCCAAGGGCACCCCACGCATCCCTGCAACATCGGCCCGTCCTCAGCGACTTTCGCTGGCCGGCCTCCTTCGAGAAGCGTCGACGCCGCCTTCCAAGGCCCCTGCACCCCTACCCTGCATCCGTACCATGCGGGTTGACCTGCGGTGGATTGGATATGGACAGAAGTCTGGCCCGCGCGTGTCCTCGATGTGGCCGCAGTCGCTTGCCGCCCACGCAGGGGAAGAGCCAAAGGCCTGGCCCGCGCCGCCCCTTGCGAACGGCGGCGACGCCGACAGGAGAGAGCACGTCGAGCCTGGGGTGGGCGCCCTGCGGGGGCCCGTGTCGCGCCCCGAGGGCCCGCGCAGAGCTCGGGGGCCCCCAGAGGGTGCCTGGGCCACACCTCCTCCTCCTCCCTCCCTCCTCCTCCTCCTCTCCTCCTCCTCCTCCCTCCTCCTCCTCCTCCTCCCTCCCCTCCCCCCCTCCCCTCCCCCTCCCCCCTCCTCCTCCCCTCCCCCTCCCCCTCCACCTCCCCCTCCCCCTCCCCCTCCTCCTCCGCCCTCCGCCCTCCTCCTCCACCTCCTCCTCCTCCTCCGCTGCGCCGAACGGGGGCGGAGGCCGGCACGAACGCTGCGCGCGTCCTATGGCGGGGGTCGTGGGGGTTTTCCCGCCTCGGGATGCGTGCCAGCAGTTGCGCCTCGCCGAGCTGCGTCCCGAACGGCCGCGGGAGAGCCGATGCGGTGAGTCAGTGGAGATTCGGGGTGGCCGCACGGTCTTGGGAGGTAGGTGGGAGGAGGGGGAGGGGAAGTTCTTGAGGAGGTGGAGGAAGGAGGATCGCGGAGGAAAGAGGGAGGTCTAGGGGACTTGTTGGGGTGGTGACGCCGCAGCACAGAACACAATTAGGATGCCAGCGCTTTCGTCCATAATCCTCGATGTCGGCCCTGTTTCAGATGATTCCGACTAAGGGACGTGTGCAGGCGTGGCTCAAGGCCATGCCCCCTCGGGCGTGGTCATGGGTCGTGCACGCACTGTCCCCAGTCCCAGCGTCGTCGGTTTAGGCGCCGCTGTACTGGTTCGGCCCATGGTGCCCCCTCCCCCCAAAAAAAGCTTTCGTCCATTACCAAATCTTGTTCGCACCACATCCTGGCACAAGAGCCTCGTGTATGATGCGCGAGCTCTGCGAAACACTGCTCGTTGTCTTCTGTCTGTTGCTTGCCATACCCAGTCCCCCGCGGCTTCGGACAAGAGCGAATGGCATTCCAGACGCTTTGCATATCCCCACCAGCCCATCCAGAAACGATGTCCAGGCGAGTTGAGGTGATCAGGGAAGTGCAGGAGCAAAGAGGGGGACGGCCGAACCGTGCGAAGGAGGGGGGAGGAGAAGGAGGAGGCTGGATGGATGGATGAGGGAGTGGGGAGAAGGAGGATGAATAGGAGGAGGAGGAAGAGAAGAGAAGAGAAGGAGTAGGAGGAGGAAGGAGGAGCAGGAGGAAGAGGGTAAGCAAAAGGGCCAGAGGTCTCTTGGATGCCTCTCGGAGCCTCTTGGGATATCTCTTGGACGCTTCTCGGTGGCCTCTTGGGACGTCTTGGAGGTCTCTTGGCGGTCTTGGGGGGCTCTTGGGCGTCTTGGGTGCCTTGGGGGGACCTCTTGGGGCCGCTTGGGGTCCTCTTGGGGGCCTCCTGGGGGCCTCTTGGGGGCCTCTTGGGGCCATATCGGGGCCATCTTGGGGCATCTTGGGGCCTCCTGGGCGCTTCTTGGGGCCATCTTGGAGGGCATCGATCAAAGAAGAGCTTTTTTTAGCCTCGCCCCCCCAAAAAGCCAAAATGAGACCAAAATCCTGGTAAAACCAATGATTTGGGCTTCCTCGCCGAAGCCGTTTTGGACGCCATGACCGCTCGCGACCGGCCCAGTCCAAGTCCAGGGGAGGGGGGAAGGGGAGGGGTCAAGACACCCACTCGCCCGCAAGCCGTCTAGCTCACTCCCACCCGCCCTCCCTACACATGAGTAACACCCGAGCCTGAGCATGTTCAGCGGTCGTCTTTGGATGGACAGCTATTTGGAACCAAAGCCGACCCCAGGTGCGCGACGTTTGGCGAGGTGCGCCACGCGTGCCAGGGGCGCCACGCGCGCCAGGCACCCCTGGGGCCTGAGCGTGCCAGGCACGCCTGGTGTGCCAGGTGCGCCACGTGATCCGAGTGCGCCAGGTGTGCCGCACACTCCAGCCGCGCCAGGTGCGCCGCGTTCGGGACACGTGCAGAGTGCGTCAGGTGCGCCTGCGCACGTGACAGCACACATCGGGAAACACGTCGGCCCCCACCATCCTTGTCGAAAACCGATGCCCATCATTGTGTCTGCTGGGCCTGCGCACAGCCGCGCCACCACCCCCGGCGCCCCTGTCAAAAACCACTTGACAGTGATCGCGGGATGGCCGCGCATGATCCAAATTTAGCCACGAGGTGTATGTTGTATTGTTTTTGTGTGAGGTATGGTAGCCCTGCGATCAGCAGGGAATGTGCTGACACCCCCGCCGTCCTTGTCAAAAACAATACGCAGTGATCGCGGGCCTCACGAACATGACTCAAGATTTTGCCCCAAAGTGTACGTTGCATTGATTTTTGACAGGGATGGTGGGGGGGGCTGCATCGGGTTGGCCGCACATGCTCCAAATGTGGAGGCAGAGTGCGGTTTGTATTGTTTTTGACAGGGATGGTGGGGGGCGAGTGGGCATGGTGTCGGCATGGCGCCGGGTTGGCCCCCAGTCGCTTGGGGGAGGGTGTGTATATTAATCAGGAACAGTGATAAACCCCTCCCCGAAGGGGAAGAAGGGGGTTGGAAGAGGAACCACCCTAGACCACCTAATGCCCTGAAGGGCTGGTGGGATTTAGCGTGGTTTCCTAGCGTCGCTCCTTGGGTGGCTCCGCGCGCGTGTGCGCACGATCGAGCTCGGGCACCCCTCCTTACCCTGGCCTCTCCCAGGACCCCCTCGCACGGCACGGGACCGCCTCCCATCTGGCCCACGTGCACGCAGGGATGAAGTAGAGCAGTTTGTTTGGATTCGCTCTGATAGGTCACATCATGGCATCCCGTCTCAACTTTTATGCAAAATGTGCCCATCTACGGTATGATTGGTATAGCGTCGTCGAGTAGTGAGAACATGTGCGAAGATCCTTCGGCATCACACATGAGACGCTCCTTGCTTGCGACAGTGCCGTCCATTGAATGCGTCCAGAATTGATGTGTCTCATCCTCTACGAAAGTTACACCCTCCCTGAGCGAAATGAAGATGCTTATGTAATCGGACAGATCCCGTCCGTTGCAGAGCAGCTTCGAGTGGAGAGGAACTCTCGTGCACGCGCCCATCATCCCAAGATACGCATGCTGGTACGAGCATAATTCCTTCCAGTGCCGTACGCTAAGTATGGCCTGTCCTGGCGTCCCCTACAGTAGATCAGGCTCCCGCTTCTCACTGGCCAAGTAGACAGCAGCTTTGCTGGTTCGGCGCATCCTGCGTGTCACAGAGCACTCGCTGAAAGAGCAACTGATGTTGAGTAGGACATGTGCAAGTTTTTAAGGTGTATATGTTCACGGCGAGGACATCCATCCAGCCCAGAGCCAGATGAAATGATCGTTACATCCGAAAGAGCGTGTTCTACCGCTGCTGGCGGAAAACCGGGGGGGGTCACTACCGGTTCGAACCCCTCCCCCCCCCCCCCCCTCCGGAAAACCGGGGAGGGTCACTACCGGTTCGAACCCCTCCCCCCCCCCCAGCTCATCATGAAAAGAGGGGGGGGTCACTACCGGTTCGAACCCCCCCCCCCCCCCCCTCGAAAACCGAGTGGGGGTGCGGACAGAGGTGGGGACGGTGTTGGTGGGACAGTGGTGAGGGGACAGCGGGACAGTGGTGGGGACAGTGGGACAGTGGGACAGTAGAGGGCCGGTAGTGGTGGGGACAGTGGTGGGGACAATGGTGGGAACAGGGGGGACAGTGGACAGTGGTGGGGACGGTGGTGGTGGGGACAGCGGTGTGGGCACAGTGGGAATGAGGTGGAAACAGTGGGACAGTGGAGGGTACAATGGTGGTGGGGACAGTGGTGAAGGCGGTGGCGAGGACGGCGGTGGGACAATGGGACAGAGGTACAGTGGGGACAGTGGTGGGGACAGTGGGGACAGTGGTGGGAACAGTGGGACAGCTCAGTGGGACAGCGGAGGAGTCAGTGGGACAGTGGGGACAGTGGGGATAGTCGGGCAGTGGTTGGGGCCGTGGAGACAGTGGGGAGAGTGGAACCGTGGTGGGAACAGTGGTGGGGACAGTGGGGACAGTGCGACAGTGGTGGGGGCACTGGTGGGGACACAGTGGGGACAGTGGTGGTGAGGACAGTGGTGCTGGGAACAACAGTGGGGATGTGATGCGGACGGTGGTAGGGACCGGGAGTCGTTTGCTGGCGGTGAGTGGGAGGGAGGGGTTCGAACCGGTAGTGATCCCCCTCCGGTTTTCGAGGGGGGGGGGGTTCGAACCGGTAGTGACCCCCCCCGGTTTTCCGGATCCGGAGGGGGGGGGGGGAGGGGTTCGAACCGGTAGTGACCCCCCCCGGTTTTCGAGGGGGAGGGGGGGGGGGGGGAGGGGGGGGGGGGGGGGGGGGGGGGGGGGGGGGGGTTGTGGGGGACCCCCGGGTTCCGGAGGAAAAGGCTGGCAATTTTCCACAGTAAAGCGGCGGTGGATCACGCTCTCTCTTAAATCCCCATCCTCGCCAACATCGTCACCGTCATTGATTCCACCCTCACAATTTCCACCCTCGCCATCACATCGCCGTTTCCTTGCGCCACGTTCGTCACCCCATTCCGCCATACTCGTCACCGCCGCCTTCACCGTCGTCATCCAAAGCCGTTGGTCCAGGCTTGGCCAGGCCAGGAAGCCCAAGGGCTAGCAAGCCTGACGGCGGTAGCGCGCCCCTCGGCGCGCAGACCTCCTGCGAGGGGCCTCCGCCACAGCCCAGGCCGAGAGCCGCCCGCCTCCGCGCGGGCGGCTCGCGCACCGCGGCGGCATGATGATGGCCGTGGAGGCCGCGACGCCGCCCTGGGCGAGGGCGTGCAACGGCTGGTGCCTGACCATCGGCTGCGGCTTCTGCTTCCTGGGCACCTGCGCCGTCATATACCTGGCGGACAAGATGCCGACCATCCACGACATGCGGAGGCTCCGAGCACTGCCGGCGCCGCCCGAGGAGGACCCCTCCTGGGCGCCGCCGCCCCTGCTGGCGCTCGCCTCCGGCCTGTGGCTGCTGGTGGCCGCGGCCCACTCCTGCCTGGCCCTCGGCGCGGCGGCCGGGCCGCCGAAGCGCGCGCCGCCCAGCGCGGAGGCGGCGGCCGCCGCCGCGGCGGGCGCGGCGCGGGCGGCGCGGCCGCACCTGCCGCAGCCGCCGGCCACCGCTGGGACGAGCTGAGGGGGCTGCCCCGGCCTTCGGGGGCGGCGGCACCCGCCACGGCCCCAGGGCCACCGCCGGGATCTGGCCACGGCGGCCGGCTGAGCGATGGCCGCCACGATCCTCTGGCCGTCAGTCTGCCCTCCTCCCTCTCTCTCTCCCTCCCTCTTCCTCCACCTGCCTCCATCTGCATCATCCCTCTCCTCGCTCTTCCCGCTGTCTCCTCCCCGCTCCTCCTCGCTCTCTCTCTGCCTCGTCCTCCTCCTCGACCTGCTCTCCACCCCTCCCCCCCATCATCCCGTCCAGCGGGCAGGAGCAAAAGCCTCCTGAGACTGAGAGCGGTTATTCTGGCACGCTGCCCGAGACGGCGCTGGCCATCGGCCAAAGGAATCGCGCGCTTTTTGCGTTTCGGCTGCAGGTCGTCCGCGCTCCACGTGCCCGTGGTGAACGCATCCAAGCGACTCTCTGGCTGCGGTGGCTGTGCGCTCGGGGCGCCCTGGGCGCTCCAGCTGGGAGCGTACAGCAGGTCCGCGCTGCCTCGACGCGGCGGCGACGCCAGCGCGGGTGTTCAGGATTGAGTGCCTTCTGGGGGCTCGCTTCGGGCCCTGGGGCCCACAGAAAGCAGCGGGCTGCGCGCGAGTCCCCAAAAGGGGGGTAGGGAATTTGGTTTCGCCAGTTGTGGCTGGTCGGGTCTGCGAGGTTGCGGCAGGTTCACGGCGACGCGGAGGCAACCCCAGCATTGAGTGCCGCCAGTGGCCCAGAATCGGCCGATGCGAAACGATCTGGAGATCGGAATGTCGCCGATCGTTCAAGGTTGAGCGATCCACGCGGTGTCAGAAACCAACGTCTTGGTCGTAACGGCACGAACATGTCGTGAGTGGTGCACCACCTCGTGACCTCGTGTTCCAGCGTGCGGTTCGAGAGGCGCGGAGAAAAAAGAACGCCGAGGTAATCACCATCATTGCCATCTTCTACCGATATTGAGATTCTTCGCCAGGTGAACTACATCCGATAAGTGCATGCGCGGACGACTTGCATGTGTTCAGATGAGGTATTGGAGATGTTATACTCACCACGCTTTCATACGCACTCATACTCGCACATGCACATGCATTCCTCGCATGCATGCCTATGGCCTCATGGCCCTCTGACCCCTCATCTTCGTCAATCGCTGAATACACTCCACTCTTCAAGATCCAAAAAAAACAAGATTTGATGGTGGGTGCACGTCAAGGGGCTTGATAGCTGGCTGGGCGGGTCAGCTGAGTATACGGTCACTATCGTCCGCTGTATGGTGGCTCCGCAACAGTTTGGGGAATCATGTGTCTCAGTAGTTGCATTGATGTAACTTGAGACGTCCCAAGGACCGCCTTGAGTCAAAAATGGTCATGATTAGTTGGGGCGGTTTTGCGCGCGACGTGCAGTCGCCTCACTCGCGTAGGAACCTGCCGAGGGTGCAGTCGCAGTTTCCTGCACAGGAGAATAGAACGAAGAGCATGTAGAATATTCGCATTTGGTTTCCTCATATTTCATGCGTAAGTACTCGAGTGTTTGTGGGCGTGTCCGCTTGTGCACACCCAACAATCCAATGCACACTCAATGAGTCCTGGAGATAGAAGCATTCCAGCACACACATATACATGAACCTGCCCGGTCGCCATGTTGGCTCAAGCTGTTATAGAGGCAGCGGTTCCGATTGACCAATACACAGGGACCAAGCAAGCGCTTTTCTCTGCGAAATGGTCCTCACCAGCTTACTGTCGGTCGAGGCGAATCTCGCGATCGTGTATGTAGGCCTGTCGGTGGGAACATGCTTGCTTTGCTGCGGGATGACCTCGAAATCTGGTTCGGGAAGTATGCGCGCGGGGATGGTACTGCTCACCGCATTGGGCGCGGTGGTCAACTATCGCTATGGCATACGCGATGTCGAGGAGACGATCGCCTTCTTCAACTCAATGTATGATCCTTTCTACCTCGCTTTTGCTGGCTATGACCTCGATTCCTATCCCGGGCTCGCTCGCTGCCATGTCAACAACACGTGCTCCCTACTCTCTTACGGGTACCATGCATCCTGGGCCGTGGCCTTTCATCGCCGGTTCACCGAGGGGGCCATGGCTGGCTTCAACTGCGCCAGGCTGTACAGCCACGTGTGGATGAACACCACCGCATTTATTATTTGCTTGGTCCAGTTCCACGAGCCCACGCGCCGCAAGTACCTCTGGATACACAAGAAGCTCGGATGGGCGGCGATCTCTCTTGTGACAGTTGGTACAGCAAGTGCGCTTTGGCTTGGCTCGGAGCATGGTTCTGAGGAGATGTATGGCGCCAATTATGCCGTTGCAGGTTGGTTCTCCATGGCGGCAACCATGTTCGGCATGTTGATCCCTGGCGTGTGGACCATCCTCCGCAAGGATGTTGCCTCGCACAGGAAGTGGATGACTCGCTTCTACGGCGCCATGTGGGGAGCCTTCCTGGTGTTCCGGATCATCTTTCTCTTTGGAGGATTTTTTCGTTGGCACCGAATTTTGATCATCCAGCTCGCGGTGTGGACCTCTGCGCCGCTCGGCGTCCTTTGTGCTGAGTTTTGGCGAGTGCGCTCGCTGGGAGCCAGCAAGAACAGTGACAAATCGGTGTGAGTGCGTTCTGAGCTTGAGTCTGAGGCAGGTGGTCTTGCCTGTTGCTCCACCGTCTTTGCGTCATGTGCTCCGCACGCATGGACTTGCAATTTGCAACAATCCTACAGAGTTCGGCTTGGTGCGGTCGCCCCGTCACAGCGCCTCTCTGCGCGGAGGCTCAGGCACTGAACATGCCCGCTCGATTGGCAAGCTTGCCAAAGAGTGCGAGCCCCCCACACGCACGGGGCTCGAATATGTGAAGGCTCTGGAAAAAGGACGTGCCCCAGGCCACACCAAGCTGGCGAGGGAGATCAACGTCCTGAGGTGATCGTGGAGACAAAGCGCAGAGGCTATTCTAATCTGAATCTCCTCCTCCTCCTCCTCTTCCTCCTCCTCCTACTCCTCCTCCTCCTCCTCCTCTTCCTCCTCTTCCTTCCGCAGCAATTTTGGCTCAAGCTCGTACCATCATCCGCTGGACCCTTCCGGACGGATTCCTCGCCTGCCAGCACCTTCCCGCTCGCGGCCGTCTGCGGCGAGGGAGTCGCCTTGGGGCAGGAGGATGGCCGAGCTGCCAGGGTACGACGCGTGCGTCGTGAACAAGACCTTCCTCGAGCTGGCCCCAGCGCCGGTTCCTGGCCAGTTGCAGCGGTCCCAGACGGCGCCGCCGCGTTTTGCGCCCATGCCTGTGACCAACATCTCGTTGTGCTACGACGACCCAGACTATGAGATTGAGAAGGACGAGGAGCACGACGGCGAGGGCGAGGGCGATGACGAGGTCATGCCCCCTCCGCCCCCCCCCTCGGAGCTTCAAAGGTTGCAAACCTACAATGTCTTTGACGAGCCCGGTGAGCACTGGCAATGGAACAGCGCAGCCGCGGACTGCGCGGGGCTACCGGGGGTCGCGATGGCGCAAATGGTGCCGGTGGTTTATGCCGCCCCTGTGGCCGTCCACATGCAGCCCATGAAGCCCTTGAACTCGATGCCGGCCAACATTAACCCGATGGGTCATGCCGAGCAGCAGGGTGTAGCACAGGACTCCAGGGCGCTGCCGGGAGGAGAAGCGCTGGGCCCACCGGCAGGCGGGCCCCCGATGCCGCAGACGCTGCAGAGGAGCACCAGCGTCTCCACCAGAGCTTCACGCATAGAGTGGACAGTGGACGCACGCAAGCTTCGCGGCAACGACAAGCAGGCGGTGTCGCCATCTTTCGATCTGGTTTGTGCAGGCAGGACGCTCCCATTTAAGATGATGATATATCCGAAGCAGGTTACCGACCAGAAGGGTGGCGCCTCGTTCAAGAAGTCCAAAGGCAGGGGCACCGTCACGATCAAGTGTGAGGCGGACCTAAACACGGGCTCCACCCCGCTGCAGTTCCGGGTATACACGGGAACAGGCGCGAGCAAGCAGACTCCGCGGGGCCCCGTCGAGCACGATTTCTCGGAGAGCGCAGTGTGCACGCTTCCAAGGAATATCGAGGAGTGGGATTTCGAACAGGTGAAGGATAAAGATTCGTCGACATTCGTAGTTGGCCTGGAGGTACTCACGCAGTAGTGAGAGGCGGCAGCGGTGGGGCGGCTTCGGCGGCGGCCTTCCGCTTCCCACCGCGCCCCCAGCCTGGACGTCCCTCCTCCTCCGCCTCCTCCTCCTGATGCTATCTGCGCTGCTTCGTCGTCGCCTTGCACGCGCCCGCCCGCGAAGGCGGCCAGGTGCGGTCATTAGAGGCTTGTTTTCCTTTCGGTCTGGGTCAGGGGCTGCGGCTCGCAGGCCGGAGGGCTGTATTAAGCTTGTCATGCCTCATGTCAAACGAGAGCCGTACAAAGTACCCGACAGAGCAGCGCGAGCCACCCTTCAGCCTCGAGACAAGGGTTTGGCGGGGGAAGCACCTGTGTCCACTCTGTCCGGCGCAGCGCCCCAAGCACGCAATGGCCTCACCCGCCGACGGAGAGGCACGCCCCTCCTGTGGGCCGTCGCACGGCAGAGCACAGCTCACCAGGTGCGGCGACAGAAGTCTTGAGTGACATCGCAGGGCCAACGGGCCTGCGCCTGGGCCCAGATCCCAAGACATGCCCTCATCTTGAACAAATACGGCGGGCGGCTTCTTTGGGCAAGTTTTCTGCCTCTGGGAGCCCTCGGCGAGCCCTGGAACCGTCAACAAAACGACCCTGAATGAACAGCCCGTCCCAGGGAATGGTATTCTAGACGTTTCGCGTAACCCCACCAGCGCTTCAATGAGGGGCATTTTGTCCCTGGCATGTGCATGCGCCACTGCGTGTGTTGTCCGCTGGAGTCTGCGGCAATCTCGCGCCAATTTACATCGTACCGCGCCCCGGACGTTGTGCCCGCTCCCTGTTCCTCGCCTTGGAGCTGCGAACCAAAAAAAGTAACCCCACCAGCCCATCTAGAAACGATTCCCAGACGACTTGCCCTGATCAGGGACGTGGAGGAGAACGCATTGAAAGAAAGAGCTAGGTAAAACGCCGTGCCCCAACAGGGGAGGATGGAGAAGGAATCGGAGGAGGAGGGAGGAGGAGGAGGTTGAGGTGGTGGAGGATGAGGAGCAGGAGGAGGAGGGAGAGGGGGAGAGGGAGGAGGGGCGAGTAAGGAGGAGGAACAGGCGGATGAGAAAAGAGGAGGAGGAGGAGGAGGAGGAGCAGGAGGGCGAGCAGAACGGCCAGAGGCCGCTTGGATACCTCTCGATGTCTCTTCGGATTTCTTTCGAGAGCTTCTTGGAGTCCTGTCGGGGCATCTTGGTGTTCTCTTGGGACTACCACGGAGCTCCTGGGGCGTTTTGGGTGCCCCTGGGGGTCTCTTGGAGCCTCTTTGGGATCTCTTGAGAGCCTCTTCGGGGGCCATCTTGGGGCCCTTTTGGGAGAGATCGATCGAAGGAGTGGGGCTTGAGACCAAAAGCTTCCCAAACTAAACGGGCCTTCCGCAACATGGTGGGCCCTCAACAAAGCGGCCGTACTGGGCATTCCGCAACATGATCGGTTCCCAACGTAAGGGCCGTACCGGGCCTTCCGCAACATAATTGAGTTTTCCGCAACGTGTACCCGGCCTTCCGCAGCATGGTCGGTTCCCGACGGAGGGGCCGCACCAGACCTACCGCAACATGTACCGCGCTCTCAGCAATATGTACATGCCTGTCGTAACAGGGTCGGTTTCCAACGTAGAGACCCCATTGGGCCCTCCGCAACATGCTCGGTTCCGAGTGTAGACGCCGTGCCGGGCCTTCCGCAACATGCACCTACCTTTCCGCAATTTGTACAGGGCCTTCAGCAATATGGTCGGTTCCCAACATAGGGGCCGTATTGAGCCTTCCGCAACATGGTCGGTTCTAAACGTAGGGGCCGCATTGGGCCTTTCGCAATATGTATTGGGCCTTTCGCGACATATGACGCGCCTTCCGCAACATGGTCGATTCCGATCGTAGACGCCATACGAGGCCTTCCGCAACATCTACCCGCTCCCAACTTAGAGGTCGTCACGGGCTTTCCACAAAATGAACAGCGTTTTCCGCAACATGTACCGTGTTTGCCGCAACATAAGCCAGGCCTTCCGCAACATGTGACGCGCCTTCCGTAACATGGTCGGTGGCGAGACGCCGTACCAGGTTTTCCGCAACATGTATTTGGCCTTCCGCATAATGTACCGCGCTTTCCGCAACATGATCGTTTCTAAACGTAGGGACCGTGTAGGGGCTTCCGCAACATGTACCAGGCCTTCCGCAAGATGTGACGCTTCTAAACGTAGGGGCCGTACCAGGCCTTCCGCAACGTGCATTGGGCTTTCCGCAACAATGGTTTGTTTCCAAGGTGGGGGCCGTACCGAACCTTCCGCAACATGCACCGGGCCTTCCGCGAAATGCAGCGCGCCTTCCGCAACATGGTCGGTACGACGTCTTTCCTGGCCTTCCGCAACATGTACCGCGCCTTCCACAACAGCAGCTGGTTGTCAACGTAGGAGCCGCACTGGGCCTGTCGCAACACGAACCGCGCTGCCCGCCACGTGAACCGCGTTTTTCGCAGCATGGCTGCTTAGCAACCCCGCCCGCTGGGGCCTGCCCGCCCGACCCGCTCATGAGGGTCCGCCCGCTCCGCCTGCCCCGCCAGGGTCCGCCAGCCCGACCCGCCAGTTGGTTCAGCGTCGTTGTCTTAGATGCTGTTACCGTCGTCTGCGACCTCCTTGTCATTGTCGACGCCGTCGTTCCCGCCTCTGTCGTCGTCGTGGTCGTCGTCAACGTCGATTTCCTGGTTTTCGGCCTCGTCGTCATCCCTGCGTTCGTCGTCCTTGACGGCCTCGTCGTCCTCCTCCTCCTCCTCGCCGTCCTCGCCGTCGCCTCCGCAGATGTCGCAGTGGGCGGATTGCATACTACTCTAATGTCCCGCCCGCCCGATAGGGTCCGTCTGCTCAACCCGCTTGTTAAGGCTCGCCCGCCCGACCCGCCCGTCAGGCCCTGCCGCCCGACCCACCCGCTAGGGTCCGCCCGCCCGACCCGCCCGTTGGAGTCCGCCCGCCCGACGCGCCCGTTAGGGTCGCCCGCCCGTCCCCGCCCATTCGGGTCCGCCCGCTCGATCCGCTTGTTAGGGTCCGCCCGCCCGAACCGCCCCTCAGGCCCGCCCGCCCGACCCGCCCGTCAGGGTCCGCCCGCCCGACCCGCCCGCCAGGGTCCGCCCGCCCGTCCCTCGCGTGAAGGTCCGCCCGCCCGACCCGCCCGCCCCGCCCGCCCGCTAGGGTCCAGCCGCCCGACCCGCCGGTCGGGTCAGCATCGTTGTTTTTGATGTGTTTGCCGGCGTTTTCGATGTCTTCGTCGCCCTCGCATTCGTCGTCGTCGTCGTGGTCGTCGTCGTCGATGTCTTGGTCGCCAGCCTCGTCGTCATCTTTGCGTTTGTCGTCTTTGTCGGCCTCGTCGACGTCGTCGTCCTCGCCATCGTCGTCGCGGTCGCAATGGGTGAGTTGCCCGCTACTTTATTTTCCGCCCGACTCCACCCGCACGCCTGTTTAAGTCAGCCCGCCCGACCCGCCTTTTAGGGCCCGCCCTCCCGAACCGTCCGTCAGGGCCCGAACGCCCAACCCGCCCGTCAGGGTCCGCCCGCCCCACTCGCCCGCTAGGGTCCGGCCTCCCAACCCGCCCGTCGGGTCCGCGTCGTTGTATTTGATGTTTTTGCCGTCGTCTTCGATGTCCTCGCCATGGTCGGCGTCGTCGCCCTCGCCTTCCTCGTCGTCGTGATCGTCGTTGTCGATGTCCTGGCCTAGTTGTCATCGTTGCGTCCATCGTCTTCGTCGGCCTCGTCGTCGTCGTCCTCGCCGCCCTCGTCGTCGCCTCCGTGGATGTCGCACTGGGTGGATTGCACATTATTTTAACGTCCCGCCCGACCCGACCCGCCCGCCCACTAAGATGCGCCCGCCCGACCCGCTCGTTAGAAACCACCCGCGGCC